TAGATGGGTGTTGGAATCAGGATGAGCTGTGTTGTTCCGACCCTCCAGCACTCAGTGGGCAGTTTTGTTCCCTTTCATCCTGATGATGGTGCGGGTGGGGAGAGACGGTCCGTTTGCTTAGTTCTTGGATGAGACCCCAAGAGGGTAAGAAGCTTGCTGGATTTAGGGACAAGCAGCTTCTGTCTCAGATTTACTGACTGCACAGACCTGGGACTACGTTCCTGTGCTCCGTGCCTCCCAGTGGTGTGTGCACAGGTGTGTGGCATCGTCACTAGTTAGACAAGAGTTGGACGTGTCTCCTGTCCGGGACCACCAGCCCTTTGTGAGGTTCTGAGTTTACTGAGTGGCAGGTCACCTGCCTGCTGGGCTGCCCCGGACATCGGAGCAGGGAAGGTTGCCAGCCGGCAGGGTAGCTGTGTGACTTGCATGCTGTTCCTTGACCCTGAGTTCTCTTGTGGTGGAAAGGAGAAGGGTCCCCTGCATCCCACCACCCGCAACTCAAACCTTCCACTGTTCTGTGACTCCTAGGGAGCCGGCTGTGTGTGGAAGAGAGAGGACCACTTGTTCCTAGGCAACCAGCACCCGCCTAGCCCATGTTGCCATGGCGACAGTGAAAGTTGGACTGATGGGATTACCAGCTCTTGCTAATTACCTTATAAGCGCTCCAGGTCTCTGTCTCTAGCTTGCTCACTCACTCTGACTTTCATAGTCTTCTCCAACATCCCTCCTCCATCTACAACCTCCCAGAGAGCTCCGATCCAGTAGAAAACAACTGTGAATGGGGCCTGGCAAGCAGCTGTGTGACCCCGGGCAGGTTACCCAGCTTCTCTGGGCCTCTGTTTCCACCTTTGGAAAACAAAGGTGTTGGAACCATAAGCCCTGTCTAAGGTTCTTCCTGGCCCTCAAATCCTTTGATGCTTCGAGAGCATGTCAGGGGAGCAAACCACACTGTTACTAGGCAACCAGCAGGCACCCTGCCCAAGTTGCCTTGGTGACTGGATGCTGGGAGGGAGGGGAGTAGCTGTTGTGGCTAATTGCTTAATTATTGATGAGTGCCTCAAGTCCTTTTCGTTGTTTTTGCTGCTAGGGGCCTTGGGGTCACCTCCTCCTCCTCCTCGGGCCAGCCACCTCAAGCCGTCCGTGTTGTGCATCATGCAGTGGGAGAGCGCCTTGGCCTGGACCCCCACACCACCCACGTCCTAGTTCTGCCTCTCACTGCCTAGAGCTGTGGCCTCGGTAAGTCCCCTCACTTCTCTGGGCCTCAGGGTCCTGGTCCCTAAAGTGACAGCTGGGCTCTGATGATGCCCAGCCCCTCCTGCCGTTCCCTCAGAGTGGGGGGAGATGAACAAGCCCCTACTCTTCTGAGCCCTCTGGGAAGGGTCCTGAAGGGCAGGCAGGGCCATCTCCCACGGGAGGGATGCCGCTTGTACCCGTTGTCACCTCTGAGCCCCCTAGCCACATTGCTTGGCTTCCTGTATGAGCCCATAAAATTATTTATTTGTATACTAGAAATTGACAGTTAAAGATGCATATATGCAGGTAGGTTATTTTTAGTTTGACAGAAATAGAAATCAACATGGAAATGGTGATGTCTCCTCATGGTCAATAGCAATGCGGTGATGGTAATTTTGAGCACCCTGGGAGCCAAGACAAGAAGAGCAGGAGGCAGATGATTGCTGCTTAATGAAGCACCGCGAGACTGCTTCCAGTTCTAAATTCTGGAATGAATTTATCATGAATTTTGCATTCCCTTTTATAGATACTGAAGATAAAATTTTTAAAGGTTTCTTTTTATTTGAAAGGCAGTTACAGAGAGAGAGAGAGAGAGAGAGAGATCTTCTATTTCCTGATTCACTAAGTGGAAACAACAGCTAGAAGTGGGCTAGTACAGAGCTGGGAGCCAGGAACTTCTTCCATGTGGGTGCAAGGATCCAAAGACTAGGGCCATCTCTCCCTGCTTTCCCAGGCACATTAGCAGGACGCTGGATGGGAAGTGGAGCAGCCAGAACTTGAACTAGCGCTCATATGTGATGGCAGTGCTGCAGGCAGAGGCTTCACCTACTATCCACACAGCAGCAGTTCCAGAAAATACATGTATTTTTAACTGACTTCTCTTGCTGAGGGGACTAGTTTATTTTCGTTTGATAGTCAGACACAGAGACAGAAAGACTGCCAGCGAGAGCACCCATGGACCAGTTCATTTCCTACATGCCTGCACGTACCAGGTCTGACCTGGGACAGAAGCTGGGGGCCAGGAGTGCAATACAGATCTCCACTGTGGGGAAGGAACCCAGTTGCTTGAGCCATCACCATAAGCTTCCCAAGGTCATGTTTACAAGAAACGGTAGGGAGGCCCAGTGCTCAGAGTCAAACCCAAGTACTCAGAAATGCAGAAACTTCCACAAGCGAAGCTAAGTGCCAGTCCCTGGCCAAGGTTAGGATTTCAAGATGTGAGAAGCTGAACTCCACAGTCGGCCCCATGCGAATGCTTAGAAAGCAAAATGGCCTCTCTGCCAGTGCTTTAGAATTCTGTTCAGGCACGTGCACTTAGAAATGATCAGAATCAATCTGATGTATGTATTATAGCGGATTCCTTACCGATCAGTTACCTATACATTCTGTACAGCCGCTGGGCTGTCTGTAACTGGGATCTTAAGCGATGCCAACAATTCCACTCCCACTTTATTCTGAGATAAGCTAATGGAGATGAGGAGAGATGTGAAACTGCTTCTAGTAGCAGAATCTGTGAAAGAAAATGGCTAGGTGCCACTTCAGGGTTGAGGGCTAGCGAGTCAAAATACATCACTTCTCTGCCATGAATTATTTTACAGCCCTTAAGATGAAGTAGAGCTGTACATTTTAATAGGGGGGAAAAAAACCCTTCAACTATACAATGTTAAGTAAAAGAACAAGGTCCAGAATTGTGACTAAATGTTTATAAAATGATTATATGTTTTATAGAAAAGACAATTTATAAATGTGGGTACAAGCTGCTATGGGCATCCTTGCATTCTTCTGGAAGGAATCTGTGAGCTGTGGTTTCCTGTGACAGGCAGGAAGATGGAGAACCCTGGGAAGCAGAGAGAGCTATTATTCTTGAACCTGTTGTCTTTACACTTGGAGAACCTGGCAGTTTGTTGGGAGCCTAGACTATAGTCTAATATATATATATTAGTATTCCCGTTCTGCCATTTCTGAGCTGTGTGGCCTCGGAGTTCACTTTCATGTCTGTGTTCCTCGTCTGAGGAGTGGGCTCCTACAGGGACCAGCGTGGTGGTACAAGGAGTTAAGCCATCACTTGCAATGCCAGCATCCCAGAGGATGGTTCACATCCTGACTGCTTCTGGTCTGGCTGCTTCCTCGTGTGCCGGGGAAGGCAGCAGAGGAGGGCCCAAGTGCTTGGGACTCTGCCACTCGCAGAGGAGACCTGAGAGCTTCTGGCCTTGGCTTTGGTCAGTCCTGGACACCGCACCCATGGGAGAGGGAACCTGCAGGTGGAAGCTCTCTCTCGTCTTCTCTGTGTAACTTTGCCTTTCAAGTAAACAAATACATAAATAAGAATACGTGGGCCCATACACGCGTACTTTGAAAAGTTGTGGAAAAGAGGATGAAAAGATGGCCTGAAAATGTCTTGTTTGCTGCAAAAGTTTTTGTAAATCCATGCACACTTTTTCCATGAAACACACTTTGCTTCAACATTCTGAAGACTCCTTGTAGTAGCTTCCTCCTTGGAGTATTGTAAGGATTAACTGTGTCAGTAAGCAAACAGCCCCAACAATACTATATGTGTGTCTTCCTGGAAAAATCAAAACGGAGAGATTAAACAATAAATACAGCTAAGGTCCCCCCCGCCATTTCTCAGTGTCTGGTGGAACCTACAAAATATGTCATTTTTTCCAACCTCAACTGCCATGCTTTCACTGCATTTGACCTGACCTTGGCCTTGGAGGATGGGTGGTAGTCCTGGAAGGCCTGAGAGCCTCTTAGGATGCCGGGAAGCCCTTGAATCAGTTGGCATTGCAGCTCCTCTCCTAGCCCATGCCAGTGAGTTCCCATGGCCAGGGCAGAATCCATGCCAGGCCCAGGCATGGGATGAAGGGCAAGTCTAACCCTCAGCTGTCCAAGGCCAGGACTGTCCACACAGCAGCCTAGAAGGTCTTCAAACTGAAACCAGCTGAAGGAGGATGTCCACGTTTGTGCCAGAAGTCTGTGTGCTTGTCAGCTGATGGGCAGTGCTGGCAGGGGCCCTGCCACCCTGGGCCCAGAGACTGTCCTTGTGGTCAGAGCTGGGGGCAGAGGGTAAGGGTGGAGAGCAGAGGGCCCGCTCTGCCCTCTGCCCGTCTTGGCCATGCCTCAGAGGCTAAGTCAGGCAAACTCCAGCTGCCATTAGGGAGCCTTGGCACCAGGTGGTGAGTCCCCCTTGGGGATACGGAAGGGGCCCCATGCCCCCCAAATCAGCCGTTGCAGTAGACCACCGGGCACAGCAAGGCAAGCAAAGCTGACCCTGTTCTTCCTTGTGTCTGTCTGGCCAGTCGTTTCTGCCCCGGGGTCTCCTGATGCAGCTATCTGTCGCATCCAACTGTGCTTCCATCTGCCCTTCCATCCCTCCGTCCCTCCTTTCCGCCTCCAGCCATCTGCCAGCTTTCCTAGCCGTCCTCAGCCTCGCCATCAGCGCTTTCCCTTGCGCCACGGGAGCCCGGGGCGCCAGCCTTGGGGCCAGGCGCCGCTCCATCTGTGCGCACGAAGCCTGCCTTCCACCCGGCCCACATCTCCACGGCCAGCCCCCCCAGGCCTGTCCTCGGGGCTCCTCCCTCTCACTCCCGCCACGACCTTCGGTCCCCGGCACCCGCGGTCTCGCCAGCCCCTGTCCCCCGCCACGGGCCGACCTGCCTTTGTTCCGTGGCCCGGAGTGGCCCTGGCCTTGCACAGGCGGCCCCGCCGAGCGGTTCCCGGGCCCCGGGGCGGGGCGCACGCGGGGCGGAGCCGGGGTGACTCAGCCGCCGCGGGCCTCGCGGTCCGTGCGTCCGCCGGTCTCGCAAGGCGGGGCGGAGAAAATGGCGCTGCCCCCGGCCGCCGCGCCCCCCACCGGGACTCGGGAGCCGCCGGGACCCCGCGTCGCCGCCGCTGCCTCCGAGCCGCCGCCAGGCCTGCAGCAGCTCTCGGCGCTGCAGCCCGAGCCGGGCGGGGTCCCGCTGCACTCGCCCTGGACTTTCTGGCTCGACAGGTGAGGGGAGCGCGCGGGGCCCTCCGCTTCAGTCCCGGCCCCAGAGCGCGTCCACCCGGGCCTGCGCCGTCGCTTTATCCCGGTGCGACCCGGAGTCTAAACGGCCTGAGCCGGGGCGCCGAAAGCGGCGGGGACCCCGCTAGGCAAAGGCGCAGAACCACGACCGCGCGCTTGCTCGGGGCAGTGGGCGCGGAGCCGGGTCGGGAGTCCCCAGTTTGGGCTGCGCCGCGGCACCCTCGCCTCCGGCCGGGAGAGCAAAGCGCAGCCCCTCAACTTTCGGCAGCACTTTCTCTCGGTGCTCGCTTCGCACCAAGGCGCCCGCGCGAGCGCTCGGGGCTGAGCCCCGAGGGGAAGGGGCGGCCAGGGTGGTGGGCTGCCAGAGACCGGGCAGCGGCCGTCTGGTTACCCCCAGGGGATCTTGGGGGGAGCACGGGACACACATTCTTGGCTGTGGCAGCTGTCGGCTAAGTTGCCAGCCCCTGGGAAGGGTCCGGTGGTGGCATGGCTGATGCTTAGCTGCGGACGTCCTGGCTTCTGGTGTTTCTGAGCGCACACACCTGCTGTGCGTTGAGATTCCGAGGATCACAGCCGGTTCTGCCAATCAAGAAGGCAATGGTAGCTTGCTCTGGGGTTGGCTCAGGTGGCCCCCCTTTGGAGAGGCCTTCCTGTGTACTGTTCTAAAATACTGTCCCCTCACCCTCTTTATTCTGATTTCTCTCACCCCGAGTCCGTTCTGAGTTGCTTGTGGGACCGCAGCTACACGTGGATTTGTTTTCAAGCTATGTCCGTAACCCCTTAGCTACCTTCTTTGCTTTTTCTTTGCGCTCGTTTCCTGGATGCTTGCTAAATGCCCGTGCCTGAAACAGCCTGACCCGCGGTGGGGGCAAGACGTGGGTGCCTGTGGCTGGTCCTTCAAGGGTGTTTCAAGAATTTAAAGAAATGTAGATAAAACTGGCTCTACTGTGGATCAGTGCAGTAGTTATCTGAGAAGCTTGCCGAGCAGACGCAGAGCTAGTCTGAAAAAGTGTTCCATAAAATCCATGCAGGGTTTCTAGAAAGCCATTTCATCTTTTCTTTGGGAGACCAGTTCCTCCCTTGCTTCCTATGGGAATTAGCGCCCTTCTACGCCTGGGGACTCCTGGGTCATCAGGTCTTCCTTTGGGGAACCCACCAAGTTGGGGGGTGGAGCTAACCAGGTTTCTTAGAACATTTTCACTTTCGGTAGGGGATGCAAAGAGAGCGTTGTTTCGCAACTGAAGTGAATTTGGCAACCTTGCACAAAATGAAATCACGGGGCTTTGTTTTCGGAGGTGTGCTGCATCTCTGCTGCTTCTACCTGGCACCCATCTGCAAGGTGTTTACCTGGCCCAGGGTGGTGACTGTTGACCGAAGGCAACACTACTGACAGAGCTTCTCTTCAAACAAATCAAAAATGAATCCTGTCTGCAGCGCGTTTGAGGAATGGCCTAAGCTATGTGCAATGACTGCCGATAGTCAAGGTTTAAAAAAAAAAGTTTATTTTTATTGGAAAGGCAGAACTATATAGAGAAGGAGAGACAGAGAGAAAGCTCTTCCATCTGCTGCTTTACTCCCCAGACAGTCTCAAAAGCCAGAGCTGAGCTAATGTGAAGCCAGGAGCTTCTTCATGGTCTCCCATGTGGGTGTAGGGTCCTAAGGCCTTGGACTGCCCTCCACTGCTTTCCCAGGTTACAAGCAGGGAGCTGGAAGGGAAGTGGAGCAGCCCAGACATAAATCAGTGCCCATGGGCCCGGCGCGGTGGCGCAAGTGGTTAAAGGTCCTCGCCTTGCACGCCCGGGATCCCATATGGGCACCGGTTCTAATCCCGGCAGCCCCGCTTCCCTTCCAGCTCCCTGCCTGTGGCCTGGGAAAGCAGTCGAGGACGGCCCAAAGCTTTAGGAACCTGCACCCGCGTGGGAGACCCGGAAGAGGCTCCTGGCTTTGGATCGGCATAGTATCGGCCCGTTGCGCTCACTTGGGGAGTGAATCATCGGACGGAAGATCTTCCTCTCTGTCTCTCCTCTCTGTATATCCGCCTTTCCAATGAAAAAATAATAAAAATAAAATCTTTAAAAAAAAAAATAAATCAGTGCCCATGGGGGAGCCGGCACTTGTGAGGGGGAGGATTAACCAACTGAGCCATAGTGCAGGTCCCCTAACATCACACTTTTAAAGAACACTTAGTACCTTTTAGGAGTATGTAACTTCAGTGAAGACACACATTGTGTCTTTGTTACCATTGGGTTGTGTGTTTTCCTTTGAAAGTCCATAACCGTTGTCATGTAACCGTTGTCATCATCCCCAACTCTTTGATGTTGAAAGGATTAGTTTCCATATTTTCCATAAGTATTCATTTTGAACAGCTATCTCCTAATTTATTTTGTGGCATGTCAGAATCCGTCACATTACTGAACTGTTCCCCCCTCCCTCCGGGTACATGTGCTCTAGAACTCCATGTGTATCTTTTTCTTCCCAGCCAAGGAACATTGTAGAAAGCAGGAGGTTCTGAAGAAGAAACCCTCAAGGGAGCCTGGCCCCTGTCAGTGCATCTCAAGTGTCCCAGTGTGAAAAGCCTGCAGCCTTGTGGTACCTTCCACTTCCTGTCCTGCTCCCAGCCTCGTGGATGGTGACAAGGGTGTGGCCCGGGCTTTCCAAGCCTCGCTGTTTGGAAGACAAGGGCAGTCTGTAAGCTGCTGTGAGCTGTCAGTGACAGCTGGCAGGTGCATGACGTGTTTTCCCAGGTGGATTTGCAGGGAGCTAGATGGCCAGTGGAGCAGCCAGCGCCTGGGTCTGGGGCAGACCAGCCCTTCTTGCTCTGTCTTGATTCTGGGGAGTCACTCCTGGCTGTGGTGTCACTGGCTGCTTCAATTACTCCTTGTGATGCTCCCGGTTCTTCTCTCTGAGCTTTGTCCTCATCTGTCTGTACCAGTGAGCTCCTCCAGGCACCAGGCTTACAATGCCATCGAGGGCTGCTGACACCTCCGGGGGCCAGCTCCCACTCCCTGTTAACCCGTGAATGTGAGAGTGCTTCAAGCGGCTTGTGACAAAGAAAATAGAAAGATCGGTTCTTTGTGATGCAGAAAGATGCCCAAAAGCCTGCACGTTTCCCATGGCCTTTCTTGAAGTACCCTCCTAAACGTACATCCAGACTGAACCTGGGCCAAGCCACCTGCTCAGCTGCCCTCCCAAACTTGCTGCCTTTTCTCTAATCTCAGATAAGGGCAGCTGACAAGAGCTTAATCCTCCCAGTTGCTCAGCCCAGATGCATCCGATTTATCTCTCAGCCGCCAGCCTGCTCAGAGCAGAGGCCACAGTGCTGGCACAGCCCTGGAGATGGCGGGCTTCCTTACTGCTGCTGCTCCGGCCTCTTCCTCCCTGCCCACGCTATCCCACCAGCTCATTGGCCACTTGCTCTCTCTCCATCAGCCTTTGCTTCCTCCTGCCTCGGGTGCTCCTCCCTCTGACCTGCATGGTCACTCCCTTCTGTGCGACATCTGATGACTCTCCTCCACCCCTGCCTGAAGGAAAAGGGCCCACAGCCCTGCTTTACTTGCCCCAATGTATCGCCACCACCACCTTCTGTCAGTTCTCACAAGGTCAGCTGCAGTGTCCTTGGCTCCCAGGGCACAGCCTAACCCAGGCTCATCAGCGCCAGATGCTTGGCGTGCTGTAGTTTCCATGCACAGCCACCTCACTTCTCCTGGGCTGGCTCTCTGTTCCTCTGATCACTTGCGGAATCTCCATCTCTCGTCCTAGACTCCCTCCGGAGTTCAAGCGCGGAGTGCCGAGGGCAGGGACGTCCACAGGTCTTTTTGAAGCACCGCTGAGTCTTGAGAAGCCAAGCTGACTTCTCTCCACTCTTCCTTTTCTGCTTGCCACATGTTGCTCCACAGTCCCACCTGACTACCAGTTCTTCAGAACTGAAATTTTCATTCGCTCTTTGAATCTTATCCTCTCCCCAGCACCTCGTTCCACCCTGTTCTGTGCTTCATATTTTGATGACCCTTGGAAAACTTGCTCTGAGTCTGTGCCATCCCTCGCCCTACACCTGGCACGTCCCCACTCCTGGCACATCCCCACCCCCACTTCCTGCAAGCCCTGGCTGCACTCTGTCTAGCTATGCACCTGCTGTCAAACCCTCCCTTTTGCCAGGTACCCCCACCAGGGCTGGCGTGGTTGGGCCTTGAACTTGTCACTTGCAACTGCCTCACCCTGCTCTTCTGCCTCAGCGGTGGATTTTTGCTTTGGTTGTCGCCACCTGAGGGTGCCTCTGCTGTGGGCAGGGGTTCTGGATCTTTCACCAAGTGGCTCTGAGTAGCAGTGGTGGTGATGGCTCTCTGTGGTTTTTTAAATGGGGCCACTTTCTTTGAACGAGGGGCTCTGGGATGGCACTTGGCCTTGTAGGTGAGACAGGTGCATCCCATGTCGGATTTTCTGGGTTTCCTGCCTCCAGATGCTGGTTGCATTTTGCTGCCAATGCAGACCGTGGGAGATATCAGGTGGTAACTCAAGTAGCTGGGTCCCTGCTTCCCACGTGGGAGACCTGGATGGAGTTCCTGGCTCCCATTCCACCCTGGCCTACTTCCTGCCTGTTGTGGGCAGCATTCTCCCTGTCTTGCTCTTCAACAAGTAAATAAATAATAATAAAAAAGTTTAAGTGTTGTTTAAATAAGTAAATAAGGTTCTTAAAATATTGCAGTAAGCAAATAGTAACATATATATGTGGTATATGTATATATATATGTAAGTGGTATATGTGTGTGTGTGTGTGTGTGCGCGCACACGCAAAGATACAGATTTTTTTTTTACTTCCAGTTGCTTTTCCTTCCTGTATTGAGGGGTAAGGAGACATAAGGGGAGAGGGCCGCTCCCAGGACCCTAACCACATCAGCACCCAGGGATGGCGCAAGGCCACTTGCTGTCATCCTAGGATCCCCGATGTGCAGCATGTTCCAAGGGTACTGCTTAAGTGGTTTCAGTAG